TAAGGTTCTGAAATAAAAATAGCAAGTGAGTGCTTCTTTTTTACCGTGTTAAACGCATCTGCATCAGACACTAAGATAAAGCAGTCATGTGCTAATAGTTAAGGAGGTTTTAAACGTAAACTGGATACATTGTGTGGGTAAACAGGCAACCACCTGAAATGTTCTTACGGATTAAAGATCATGGGAGAATATTCCAGACGCACAAAAATAGACTATGTGATGTGGGTGAGTTTGCCAGAGCAACCCGATTTTCCTTATTCGACCTGCAATCTATCATCAACAATATTTTCCATTGAATCCGTTTGTTTAGCCTTGGCAACAATCGTCGCCACAACTTATTATCATTTCGTGTCGCATAAACGAATCCGAACAAACGAGATAAATTAGAGCAATTTAATTCTCCACTTTAAAATGTCAAGGGTAGCAGTGCCCTTTCCCGAAGGTACCGGATCGATAGTTCGCTCTTAATAAGGGCGACATTGCACGTGTGTAAATTTTCTGGAAAGTATGCCCGTCGTTCTACCCGCGTTGGGAAATCGATCTGCCCACGGATTTCTTTGAAGACGTCCTTTAGTCGGAAACCAGGGAATAAATGGAATTTATTTCGCGGGAAATCGCTGTCGAGCGATGGGAATATTGTATAGTTGCGGGGAAAATTGGGAGAGCGAGCAAACTCTCAAGGAGAAAAATGGCCAGGCTGATGTTTGTGCTTTATCTTCACGCGACCGATGCGGATTTAGGAGAATTGTTTCGTTTTGTGTCACCATCATTTATGTTCATTGTCATTCGGAAAAAAATCCACTTACATCGGTTGTTCTCAACTTTGTAATGAGTAAACTTTGGCCCGAATAATTATAGAATTTTTTCAAACAGAAATATTTTCGGTAGAAATTCGCTCACAGATTCTTTAGCAATAATCCAAAGCAATGAGCAGCGTCCAAAAAAAAATGAATCATAAAAGAATGCGATGAAAGGCCACCGACTTGCTGGCATGAGACCAACATTTTCAAATACTTCACCGAGTTTATAATCGGCAAATGGGCGACAAATGGGCGAAACTGGGGGCTTCGCATCTCGTCGCACACACCGATTCCCCAACGTACTCACAACTTTAATAAGCTTTCGGCAAACAAGACGGCATATTATTTGCTTTTATTAGAAAACGGCCACATTTTCTCTCTTGGAGACTCGGAGATTGGTCGCAGCAAAACTCATTTCTTGTTGATAATTGTTTTTAAATTCGCCTTTGAAATTATTCCAATAGAATCATTTTCATTCTGTATTAATTTATTGTGATTGTCTTCAGTCTTCGGGCCATTTGATTTTCTTCATTCTATTGGGGGATTTTGTAATTTTATCTTCACGGGTGGCTTACGTTTTTCAATTGACAATTAATGAAGTTCCGAATTGATGAAATCCGGCCCAGCGTTTCATTCCTTATAAATCCTTAGAAAGATCTTGTTTGGAGAAGAAAACGTGCAATTTTGCAAGTTTTTTCAGTAGTTTCGTTCACAAACTTTTTACAACGTTTTTTTTCTGGAAAGTATCCCATTTTTGGCACTGGTATTCTTTGGAAAACCCAAAAGTGCAAAACTAAGCAACGTAATAAACTGCTCAACAAAAAGACCAAATGTTCCCCAACTTTGCAACTGGATACATTCCGATTGCTTCGAGCCATTTTGTTTCTTTTTGAAGCGTTATTGAGCCCCATTTGTTGCGTGTTAATCAGTGTTTTGGCAAAAATTTGGCATCGCATCACGTTCTACCGGGTTGCAAATGAAAAAATGCAACCTTCAGCATGCTGCGAGTTGGACAAGCAAAAGGTTTTTTTGGATGTTAACACCAAAAGTTGTTTAAAGATAAAGCAAATAGCTCCAAACGATCAGGGTGGTCTCAAAAAACCAACTTGTCGGTCTCGTAACGATAATTTTTCTGCTCTTGGTCCGATTTACGACAGAATCAGAATTGCACCCGAAATGGATTTTGGAAAATTCTCAACTAAGTGAAGTTTCCTTTCAAATATTGAATTTTTTTCAGAATTCGAGTGTGAAGTTTTAGGTTTAATACAAGTAAGTTTTAAATTTTTAAAATCGGTTCAAGAGAAATAAGTTTATCAGCACAAGACCAAGAAGTTAATTTTGTAAGACCACGCTGTAAGTAAAATGATCAGCCCAAAAACTCACAACTTTTTTGAGATATCTTCATTCCTGTGGTGTTGAAATACAAAAGAAAATGTTTGCTTAACTGAGAACATGTGGAACTTTCACCAGTTTTACATTGTTTTATGTTTCCATCCTTTACAAAATTTATCTGAACTACTAATTTTTTGCAAAAGCACACTGGAAAATTAATTGCACGAAATAACACATAGAGATGTTGAATAGCATTGGATTTTGTTGCGCCGTTTATACTAAACAGACAAAAGTGTTTTAAGGTAAATATTCTGAAAAAAATAGTTTTGGCTCCATTCGGATTTTTCATCAAGGTGTGGCTTGTAACCACGTGCCACTGATTTTTTACCATCTACAGTTTTCAGCCGGCTCGGTTCATACGGTAGAAAGTAAATTCGTATGTAAATGCTTCTGGTTGGTGCGAACCAATGCCATGCAAAGATTATCAGAGCGTGCATTCTCAAGCGTAAACGCACTATCTACGTAAGCTACTTGACCGATAACCAAACCAAACACTAATCAATGAAACACTATTAGTCTACTGAAAAAACCTTAAAATTATTTTCTTTAAATTATATTTATTTTAGCCGATAATTTATGAGCAACATCTCATGTTGATCGTTGTTGTTCAACCTGAGGGCAATTTTAACATTTTCCAGTTCAATCTAAAGTCCGCATCCGTTTTTTTTGTGTATGTTTTCCGCAAAACAAACAATCGTTTCAGTTGTAGCTTTCGGAACCAGAATCTGACCGAGCTAATAGGCGAAGGGAAAGGCGCAAAGAGAGTAAACATAAACCCGCACTCTGAGCAGTTAAACCTCTATTATGTGATTAAACGAGTTCTAAACTCCGAACAGCTCCTTTTTGTCTTCGTTACGTGCACAAGGTTGTCGTGTTTTCCATCTTCGTTCCACTTGGTGGATCGGAGTAGCCGACCGGAACATTAAAGATCAATACAAACCTACCTCTTAACTGGTTAGACTTGGGTGATGAAGTCCAAATTTTAGAATGGGCCATTTTTGTGATCCAATAATTTTTTGCATAAAAAATTGTGGGTAAAGAGCATTTGCAGTTTTTCTTCTTATTGCAAGCTTTCAAAGCTACTGCAAAGACAGCATGAACATTAGTAGTGTATTTCTGAGCAAATACATATTTCTGTTTAATGTAAATTGACATTCTAATTGCCAGAGATTCGCAATTTGAGAACAAATTATATTATGTTCCAATCGGACAGTGATTGATTTAAGACCCAGAGCATGTAAAATTAATTTGGTTTTCATTGCTCTTTGAAGAAATGTTGAAGTAAAAATCTGAACCAGATCAAAGCATATTTGATTCCTAATAATCGCCTAGAATCGGTGCAAACGTCAACTCCATATCACGTGCACGGATAAAGTTAAAGGAATCCTTCGATTTTCCAGATCTCTTTCTATAGGAAATCGTTTTCTGATAAAATTCGCGAAATGTCCTGAGTGCTGAGAAAAGTAAGTAATCTTGGCACGTCATTTCTCGACCCCGAAACGACTCTCCGCTTTATTTGCTGCTCGTCTCTACTTTTATCGGTTCCAGTGAAAACTCGGCGAAAATCGTTTGTCTTTCCTTGTCAACTTGACGTGTTTTTATAGTTTATTAAACGCCGAAGGCTGAAGGAATCGCAACAAGAACGAATACGTTGAGAAATGATGATGAATTAAGGGCAAAAAGATGTCAAGAGTTGAATCTGGAAGCTTTTCCTCAGTGAAATATTCCAGATACTGAAATTGATTTGATATCGATGTATTTACTAGATTCTGTGAATTTTGCAAAGGTTCTCAGTGTGGAAGATTCATTAGTATTTCTGTTCAAGTTCTATTTTTCTGGTCTGACATGCGACAACATTCTCAATCGCTTTTTTCTTCACTTGATTTTGCTCAGGTTCTACAGTTTTCACCTTCAACATTTAACAGCGCCTCTAAAGTTTTCAAATACATTTTCCACCTATGGAAAGAGTAAATCCTGGTTGGCATTTAAATCGAAAATAAAGCACTAGGGAACATCCTAACGCATTGAACCCGTTTTCAGCGCAACGCTTTCGCTTTTCAAATATTTTCCTATCATCAGTCGCATTTGGGAGAAATGGAAAATTTCTTTTTTCCATCCAATTCTTTCTGGGTCACTCGTTAATCAGAAACTCGACAAATTAAGCAGTTCAAATTCAATTAACAGGCAGCTACTTTTCAAGCACCATAACCAGGCACATTTAACAGTGAAATATTCCTCAACTTTTTACATAAATGTTTTTATCGAACTTTTTATTTCCTATTTGTTTGTGATGTAACCATTTCCATCAGCGCCATCTATAGAAACCTAATTTGTATGTACCTGAACAAGGATTAATTGATTTTCTAATCAGCCTTCTGGTTCGCAAGGAGCGAATAGATTTATCCGCTTTAATCAGCTTCAGCTCAGTCTGATTGATATGCTCAAATCGCTGTTAATGCATCTTTTCTTTTAAAAGATCGTATTTGTTAATTATATGCCATCTGAAACGTTCCGTTATTAAAGTAGTTGGCAATAATGCATAATGAGCACTTTTATCTTTGACCTTTACGCATTATTGAGTTTGCAAATGTGGACTACTTCGCTGGGAATAGCGGAAACCATATTTCGTGTAATAATAGAATTCTTTAAAGAGCAGTAGTTCAAGTAAGAGTGTTGTTCCAAAAAATGTTATGAAAAACTGATGATTTGAATGGTCACAAGCCACTCAAGTTAGGTGTAAGGAATTATATTTAAAAAAACAAATTATGCCTTGCCGAATCGTAACTAACTGGCTTTATTTGAATTCAGGTTTCGCCATCATTAAGCGAGAAGGACACACTCTCAACTGCAATTAGAGCACGTCTAGGGAACTTTGAAGTAATTCGGGACTATTTGGTAAGAAATGGTGTCGCTACCATTGAATCTGCTCCTCGGATGGGACCACCGTTTCCGCCTCCATCTTCAACTGTTCCACAACATTATCAGCCACGTCCCCAAGCACATCAGCAACAACGCAGCCAACCGCACCAGCCACCGCATCAGCAACATCATGTACCTCCGCATCAACCACAGCATCAGCAACATCATGTACCTCCGCATCATCAAAATCACGTCCAACCGCATTTACAACAACAACATGCCAGCACAAGGTAAGCTCAAAGTTTCATGGTCTGGCAGCATTCGTTTAGCATTAGCAACATGGCTTAGCTCTATTATGTGTTTAACTCCATGCAACATTGTAACTTTTTAAAGAGAACCTGGGTTAAGTTTGCGAGAATAATATGCGAATCTCAATTACTCGCCAAATGCTAAAACTGAAAGTGAAGATATTCTTGCGAAATCTTCATTCTAGGTCACTTCGTTTGGATTCCATTCCAATTTACCGGCGCACTTATATCGTATACTTTCCTTTTAGCTAATTTGGGATGTCGAACGGGAATGATGTCAGTATTATACTTATAGCGTTGTCAGTTTGCAAAAAGTTAAACCGAATCTACTTTTACGAGTTTTTAATTGACTCGGTGCTATAGGAAACTTGGAAATATTGCATCTCGGTTTATTGCGTTTTTAACGGTTACTTTCACTGACGATGAACGATTGTATGCTTTATATCTACGGAGCGAATAGCCGATAATTTGTTAATCGCTGCTAAAAATTAATTCATTTACGTAAATTTCATCTTCTGCTAGGACCTTGAACAATAAAACATATTTATGGGGATTTTTACTGGCAAAATTTACACTTCTTCACTTGTCTAGCTCTTTGGAAAAGGTCCATATTTTGTTTTTAATCCAGCGCATTAGAAAAAACATCTCAGTTATTATGTTATTCAAACAACAACCTACCCATTCTGCTTATATGTAAAACGTATGATATGGTGCGATGGTTCAATGGAGTAAACAACATTAAATATGTTTACTTCCAGTTTAAAATGTGTTACCAAAGTTGCATTTCGGCTTTCAGAAGAAACACACTATTTAATTTGTGCTTCTAAACGTCAAATTCAGTTAATATATTCAATCAACTTTATATAACTTTTAAAGAACTTATGTATAATTTTATTATAATTTTTTGAAATGCAATTAAACAAATTTTGGTGACTAAAGTGAATTGATAACAATTGATTGCCCTTAAATCTCTGAATTCGATTTATGGTTCAATACCTACAGTTTGTTCTAGTTTAAAAAATATTTTTTGAACAACAGTTTGTGACGGTATACACTAATTTGATTGCGGCTCACGATGCTTGAATCAGTGTACTTTTACAGTCGGAACTGATAAAATATAAAAAGGTAAACAATTCTGCAACAAAAGATTTAAAACGCCCAAATTAAATTAAATTGAAACACAGTAATCAAAGGAACGCATTCAAATAATCACATTATATTAGAGCCTCTATTAGTAACAAATAATCTAGTACCAACCTGTAATGCAGAGCTTTGTCTTCTCATGCTATTTTACAACCCGTTCTGTTTGTTGTTGAGTGGAGTTGTTTAACGCACACGTTTTTTCGTATTTGCTTTTCTCTTCTAATCTCGACACTGTTATTCTGTGAAAAATTCGAAAACATTGCAAATATTTTAAAATATAAATAAGTCTGAAACCGTTACCGTCGAAATATGAAGGCCATCCGACAGTGACGTCACGAAGACCGATTCGGACTGTAAGTAGGCCGAACAGAGTCAGGAAGACGCTAATTTATACAACACGT